ATGACGATTTAAAGAAGTTTATCCCCACAATGCCAAATATCAATATTTTAAGTAAATATATTATGTGAGAATTGCATGTGATAATGGATTATTTGAAATGTAAATCAAACTATTATATAAACAATACCTAATATTACCAGTCAATAATCTGTTGGGTAAGATAATCCAATATAAATTAACATAGTTTGACATAAATTATTAATACAAAAAGAAAAGACAAGATGATAATGTAAATAAACTTTGTATGCATGATGGTGAATCAAATTGTATTGTGCAATATTGCTTCAACCTAGAAATTACCTAGAAATTAAATCTATATTTGTATTGTCTACTAGGGTTGTTCTAAAAAAAAAAAAAAAAAACAAAAAAATCATTTGATGCCAAAGATTATTTATTAATAGAAAAAAAAAAAACAATAAGTATTGGAAGCTTTCCTTTACAAATACTAATATTTACTCCTTAAAAATACTGTAAAAAATATGCAGATATTTCTAATGTCTAAAAGTTCTTTTGACATTTTATTTTTATTTATTTTTATTTTAATCTTTAACAACAAAAAAATGTGATTTTAGAAATTAAATATCTATCACTTTTGAATTTAGGACTTTTTGAAAAGATAGGGGAATAAAATATCTCAACAAACATTAATTTAAGAAGTGTCTATGACATTGATCTAGTTTTCAAAAAAATAAAAAATAAAAAATTCAACAACAAAAACTAATAGAGGATAATATTGTGTATAAGGCATAGACACTTTGAATAGAATGTAATATCATTTGGACCAACAAATCATTTTACCATTTTTTAACATCTGATGAATAATATTTAAGAGGGTTTTTTGAATCTGTATTTATTTATAAATTTAAATAAAATTAGGAATTTTATTAATGAGATATTTTATGATTTTACAATATATATAAATTAAGTATTTGACATTCTTAGTTTCTGCCGAATTTCAGTACACTTCAGCAATCATTTTGGTATTACCAAATTATTTAAGTGTTAAGAAAAAATTTATAAAATAATTTAATTTATAATTTTATGATCATGGAACTTATTTATTGATTTTTAAAATTCTATGTAAAATACCACAAAAATTTACTCCTAAATCAATTTACTTATTATTTATTTATTTTAATTTTTAAAATGCAAAGAAAATGCATTTGTATTGATTGAGCTTAATGATTGTAAATCTATAAATGTTTGCCACAATAGCATAATTAGGACTTGATGCAAGTTTTGAAGATTGTTTTCAACTTCAATGCTTCTACAATAAGCATGTTGATTGATTTATATATTTTTGTTTTGAGCTTAAAAAACTTACATCCAATGTATTGGCCAATTGCCAATAATTAGTCAAGTGAACAAACAAAAACAAATTGGTCATGTATCAACTGAACATTAAAACCCAAATTAACCACTGAGTCTATGTATTCTAAAAAATAATTTCCATGTGGGACAGTCACGTCCATGAATCAAAGGGAGAAATAATGATTTCCAAACCCAAGCCACATGTTCAATTGGTATGGTATGATATGGTATGGTTCAACAAAATACAATGAAGCACAAGTCCATGTCCCCAATGGCAGTAGAACATGTTCCCTGAAACATGTTCCCCTCTGCAAGGGGCTGAGTGTGAGAAGCAATAGACAAAGAGTGGAGTGTCCAGGTTGTTCCTAGAGACTGACAGACAGACAGGGAAGGTGCAGCAGCAGCAGCAAACACAGCTTGTGAGGGGGTGAGGCCCAAACAGAAGCAACCAAAACAGAGGGAAAGAAAAGAGAGGCTCAGATGAGAGCACAAAGAAAGAAGGGAAGGGAGGAGAATGCAAAATCATGTAGATAGCTGATTGTCAGGGTATTGAACCCCCAAGGCCTGACATAAAAAACAAAAACAAAGCCCCTCTCTCTCTCTCTCTCTCTCTCTCTTCATGGGAGTCCAAGCAGGGAAGGGCAGGGCAGTGCACTCCTGGCCCTTCTTCTTCCTTCTTGTTCTGAAACAAAGCCATAGCAGCAGCCAGCCTCACCACCACTACAACTACAATATATTGTATTCTTCCCTGCTTCCAAAACTGGGATGTTGTTGCTTTGTGGCTTCCTTTCTTTCTTTCTGTCAGGCCTTGGCCCTTCATGCATACCCCCACTTAGCTAGCTGTCCTCTATCACCCCCCCCCCTCTCTAATGCTGTTCCCCCTTCATGGATCTCAGATTTGGCTTTACATGGAAAATGTCACCTTTACAGCCAGCCAGCCAGTCAGTCAGCCCATTGTCCTCATCCATCCATTTTTCTCTCCATGAGTCAGTCAGTCAGTCCATCCATGAGTCCATGACCATGGTTTCTCCTTTGGTGGGAGGTGGGAGGTGGGAGGGAGGGGAGGGGAATACATGGAAAGGGAATCTCCTGCTGGACCTTTATTTTAAGCTTATAGGGTTTTTGGGAATGGAGTCTGAGTGGTGCTGGGGGGGGGGGTGCTCTTCCTGGCAATACTTTACACTGGGGCACTCACTCACATGGCTGCTGAGGCTGGGCTTGCAGAGCCAGGGAGGAGGGACATGGAGACTCTTGAATGAGCCCCTCCCCCCCTTCCTGACACAAGGGGAGATGAGGACCAAGCCTACCACTATGACAGATTGATCCATTTCAGAATTCCATGCTCCACAATGGGATGATGCTACAAGATATATATATATATATATATATATATATATATGAATCATTTAGCTTTCTTTTAGTTTTACACCTGCTCCATACCCACAATATATGTCCATTTACCTACCTACCCCTGGTTCAAGTTACTATATGTTTATTTATATGTATATTAGGTGTGTGTGCCAAGTTGTTGGAATTAAAATCATCAGGAGATTGAATCAGGTAAAAGAAAAACAGAGGGGCAGCATTCACAACCCAGAGCGCCCTCCCCACTACTTTCAGTACCCCCAGTAGTAGTAGTACCCTTCACAAATTGCCTATCTCCACCATCCACACTTTCATCACCATTACTACCACCACAGCAATGGTACTCTTTTTATTCAACAATGGACTATGCATTCATGTGGAAAGGGCTGTGGCAGATACACAATGCATAAAACTACACATGCATGAATGAAACAAAAGCCAAAGTGGAAGTAAAGCACTAAACCCCAGAAAATTGAAGTGTATCAACATTTAAAGTGAGAATGCCAGCAGGGGGGTGGCAAGTTCACACTTCACTTTGTGGGGAACATGGATGGGAACATGCTGGGGAGTCAACCGAGTACTACAGCAGGTTCAAAGGGCCTTTAAATGTCCCCACCCCAAGCACAATGGAGAGGCAGATTAGTGGACAAAGGAAGCACCTTACACTACCCAATTAAGCATTTAATGAAATTTGCTAAGGCTGTTTTTGTTTCCATGAATGGAACTGCGTTCCCATACAGACAGGGGTGGCTATTGCAGAGGTTCCCCATACCTCCAAAACCCACTTCCAAGGCACCCACTTCTTCATATGTCAGACTTCCCAGCAGGGGGGAAAAAGGCAAATGAATAAAATGAAATAAAAACAGTAAAAAGAGACAAAGACAAAAGGAAACATATATCTGATCCATGAGATTGATCTTCACAATGCCTGTGGTACAAAAGTAATGTGGAAATGCAGGGCCTGAGTTAGATTGATGGATGCCTTTCCAAATCTGCACCAAATTGCTTACTTTGGATTCCTATACAAATTTACTTTACTTTCCACTTAAGTAAGTTTCCACATACATTTGAATACATAGAACCAAGCTGGACTATATATACATACAATATATACATACATGTACATACATACATACATACATACATACATACATACGTGTGTGTGTGTGTGTGTGTGCATATTTGTGAGTGGCTATGGATCTCTTTTTCTGTAAGGCAACAAATAGAAGATGCTCTTCTGACGTCACTATCAGTTCCTACTTGAGCATTTACTTATGGAACTTCATCAAGCTAAAACTTCAGTCCAACAAATTCCCCAGGGTAGATAGCATGGTTTGTGTCCAAGCAAAAAAGTTAGCTCACTAGTTCACAAATTTCTTTGTAAGCTTTTTAATCTAAGCATTCACTTTGTCAGAAAAAATGTGGATGGAAAATCATTATTGTGAATGAAACATCATCCTTGCAACTTTCAATGCCCAGCAGAGAAGAATGAATCTGAGGAGCAACTGTTGAGATACAAACTCATTCATGATGGGGAGTGGGGAGCATAAAATCTCAGCACACTGTCCTAGTCACACCCCAGCTTTGTTTAAGTGGGATGCAGAGGGAAAGCAGTAACAAACAACCAAACAAACAAACAAACTGCCTTAGCAAGACCCATCTTAAAGCTGATCTGGGAAAAGGGCACTCCAAAGGGAGAAAGAAGAATCCATTAGGCAATTAGCCAAGCAAGCAAGCAAGATATGGATTTGAGTTTGTGTACCCACATCCACGTGAACTGTTGCAATTTGGAAGGCTGCTGGCTGCACACAGGCAGGGCATGGAAATTGTAGAATTGGGTTCAGTCAAGGGCAACAAAAACCACAGCCATCAATCAAGCAAGGCATCCAGTAAGTACCACCAGCACAGTACCTTGGCACAAACTGAATTGGAGTGCAGTAATAGAAGCAGCAAGTAACAGTAGTACAATGGACTCATGGCCCTAAGCCAAGCTGCAGCAGGAAGCACAATGAAGAAAAAGAAGAAAGCCTGGAGTTTCTAGCTGCAGGTAGAGCTACTCTTCAGCTGCATTATCTATCAGCTAAGTGGGGCATGCTGGCAATGGCAAGAATGGGTTCAAAATGGAATGATGGGGAGAAAATCTTGCAGTAAAACATGAGTATAAATCTCTGTCTGGCTTCATGGCACGCTCCTCGTCAATAAACAATACTGCTAATACTACCCCCCCCCCCCCCCCCCCCCTTTGTATTCTTCCTTCATGCCTCAATACTGGAGGTTTTAATTACACCGGCTGTGCATGGACATGGTGAGGTGCAGAAAGCAGGTGCACTGTTTTGAGGGAGCGACGGTGGATTTACCATAACGTTTGCTGCGACATGTTGTGTCCCGAAGATTTGAGCAAGCTTTGGCTGAGATAATTCAGGCCTGCAGGTTTGATTGCCCTAGATTTGGCCCCATGGCGTTCAGTTGTTTCTTTGGTTTGGACCATTTGGGGGATCGTAACACGGGATCAGTCGCAACATTCATTGTAGCACATTCAAACGGTTAGTGGTGGCAGGCACCGAGGATCGACTTGCTGCCACCGCTGCGAAGTCATGGCTTGCTTGGACTTTGCAAGATCAGGGGGGAAGGCACGAGAGAGCTCGGGAGGGAGGGTTGAGCACTTGGAGAGCCATGTTGATGATGGACGCGTCACGTTTTCTTTCTCGGTTCGCTGAACGACAGCGCCACTCGCTGGTTGAATGCGATACATTTCGGAGTTTTAATTTTCTTTCCTATTCCTCTCTAGCTATTACGATCCCTGTACCGGAATCCAGGTTATCACTCCAGTACACTTGAGCTTTTCTCTTTATGTCTGTGAGCAATGTGTCAGGGAGCTGTAGGTTTCTGCACCCCCCCCCCCCATGCTTTTCAGTTCTCACCGCAGCATCACTGTACAGGACAAATCCTGTCAGGGGTATATATCTGCGGTGGGTATGGTTAGATTGCAGTTACGGGCGCTAAGTGTTCAGAGTAGAATTCCACTGAAGCTTTTCCTCCACTAAACTTACGGGTCGTTCTTGTCATGACGGGTGATCAACCTGGCCAGATTGGAGTCTATCTGCTGCAACGAGGGTGGCAGTACTTGCAGCCGTGTGATCTCTTTCGCCTCATCACTAGGCCGCACCATAATACATCCAGATCTCCGCTTTGAGTGCACTTTGCAGGTACTTTCCACAGCGTTGATTGATGGGATTCAATCAAAGGATTCTTCAAATTTTCTGTTTCTTTCAACTTCTTTGACTGCTCTCAGGGATCAGTGGCTAGAGAAACAAGCTGTCATCGTACTCGTTTGCCCAGCTCGATTTCTATTTCTACTTTCTGTCTGAGGTCCCCACTTATTCTGACTCGTGATACTAATTGACGCTGTCAGGAGGGGGGGGGGGGTAGAAAGGCTTTGAGAGCATTAGAATTGCGAGCAGAAGCAGCGCAAGGTGTTCTATGTGAAGTCCCAAGAGATTCTTGGCTGCAGTCCAGTTTCACAGCTGCATTAAGCACTTCCTGTTGAGATGTAGACGTTGCTACACGACATGTCGCCGGAATCATTCCGTTCTTAAGGTGGATATCATTTCATACAGCTTCTTGATCTCGAGTGGTCACTTTGGAGAGAACTCCAAGAGGATTGTCGCTTGGAGTGTGAGATACGAAGAGCAGAAATGATGACGGGAGGGCGGCAATGGCTAATGTTTACAAATCTCCTCCCGTGGGTTGTGATATCCTTGCTGAGTTCTTGGGGCGTACCGACTAAAGCAATCTCTTTACCTGACGAGGGTGAGTGAATTCAATCACATACGCTACACGGATCCCTTCGCAACCTTAAGTTTCTGGACAGTGCTTTGGTTCCTTCCTGTCGCACAGCTCAAGGTGAACGATGTCGGGTAATGGCGACCTTGAAAGATCAATTGATCATATTTGTCGTAGCTCTCAAAGGATGAAGTTGCCCCAGCGCTCTCGTTTTCTCACAATGCCTGCAAGTAATACATAATGGCATTGCGTGCACACCTGTGCCGTGTGATATCGTGAAAATGAACGCAGAAAAAAGTACTTGCAATACTATGAGAGTTTCGTGGGTAACCCACTGCCAGCAATAGCCCAGAAGCTAGTCATGGGTACATGCAAGCCATTTTCGGCTCCAAGCTGCTGTTGCTTCTAAGGTCTTTGGAAGAGGTTGTAAAGAACCGCGTCGGCGTGTTTTACTTGAGGTCTCGAGGATGTCCCCAGGACTAGCTATCTTTACAACGGCTACTTTGTCCACTCAAAATTTCGGTAACCCGCTCATTACAGGGATTATGTTGTTGATTGCAGTGCGCATCCTCGTGAACCTCAAAGCGGGGTTCGTGAATGGTGAAGAGGAGCTACATGACTGGGACGTTGAAAGCCAATCTCCTTGTGGGTGGATGGGTGTGAACTGCAACAATGTTACCTTCGAAGTAGTTGCACTGTAAGTTGGTTCCGCAGAGCATTTGGTGTCATCACCTTTCGGAGTTCAGTAGCCAGGAAGCTCAGGAACGGAGCAATGCTGTCTGTTTAGGCTCGACTATTAAGGAACTACTTTGCAAGTGCTGTAGCTCAGTGATTTACCCTAGATTATTAAAAAGATGTATTACTCAATAGCTTTGTTTCTGTGGGCGTCTCACATGTATCGTTGATGGTTCTACACAAACTGCGGCTCTACAGGAATTTGTCGGAACTAGCTCTTGGAGGAGAAATCTCCCCGTCGATAGGACTCTTGGGGAGCCTTCAAATCTTGTGAGATCTTCTCACCAACTGAAAGATTTACACTTCACTGTCCCACAACACTCGCACAAGTTTAAATCTCTTAGTCTAGAACGCTGATGGACATGATGCGTTGATTCTAAAGAGAGTCATTGCAGAGTTGTTACCTTGTAGCAAGAGTGGCTCCTGCTTTTTTGAGCTGGCACCCTTCTACAAAAACCTAGAACAACATAATCAGAATTTCTTACTGAACTCTCAAACTCTTTCTATCAATTCTTGCAGAGATCTCAGCGGGAACAACATTTCCGGGCAAATTCCAGTTGAAATCTGTAACTGCACAAGCTTGACACATTTGTAAGTCTCTTTGTTTTGATGGTGTGCTCGGAGGTAAAAGTAACGTTGACACCGGTTCGCAAAACATTGAAATGCGTCTAAAGCTTTGCTGTCTTGATCACAAGAGAGCCTCTGTCATTGAGATAGCTTTCTGCATGCGTTGCAGGATGCTGGTTTACATTGTTGGCAGAATAGTACCTGAAGACTTATTATTGTTATTGTTGTTGTTTTTATTACTACTATTGTCTAAGTTCGCTTAGCGTCTGCGAGAAATTTCATTGAAGAGCTTCTCTACCGACAAGCTTCCAACATCGCTGCTACATAAATTCTGAAAATTCTTCGTATCTACCCTGGTGATCGTGAGTTAAGTGGTGTTTCCATTGGCTGCAGAGATTTGTCCTCGAATAATCTAGGCGGCGAGATCCCATATCTCTTATCACAGTTGCAGTTGCTTGAAGTCTTGTAAGTTTTGCATAATATCCTTTGCAGTAATATGAGTGCATCAATTTATGCTTCATTTATGAGTGTCCTTCCCTGCATTCTATCAACCTTGGTTTCTTTTTGATTTTGCTGTAAAGGGACATTCGAGGTTAGAATTTGAGTTGCTGGTAACTAACTTGCAGGAATTTGAGGAATAATAGACTCTCGGGACCTATTCCGTCCTCATTTGCAGGGCTTTCAAATTTGAGGCACTTGTGAGTAAAACTGCTGCCCTTTCTCATCTCACATACTCAATGCCATGAAAGTAGCTGAACTTCTTGCATATTCTATTTGGAGACCGAAAAGTTATTTATTTATTTATTTATTTTTCCCATTTCAGGGTTCGGTTTATCATAATTGACTGATGACAAAAGTTTCGTCGTGAGCAGGGACATGCAGTTCAATAGTCTATCGGGTCCCATACCTCCTTTACTCTACTGGAGTGAAACTTTACAGTATTTGTGAGTTTATTATTCCTAGATGCCTTTCTATCCAGTTGTAAATTTCTCTTCTATCTACGGCTTCCAGTGATGTTTATGGAATCGGTTACTTTCCAATACTCTCCTACTTTTACAAGACTTTCCCTCAGACTAAGTGTTGAATATTTTTTGTTTCAGAATGTTGAAGTCGAACCAGCTCACAGGAGGCTTGTCTGATGACATGTGCAAATTGACGCAGCTCGCCTATTTGTAAGTACCACATCACAGTGTGCGGTGGTTTTGAACTTTCCTTGTTGCCCACAGTCGTTTTCTCCAACAGAATATTATTTGAACGAGAGCAGTACCTGCAATGCAGAAGATAAGAATCAGGCAGATTGGTTTCAAGGGTTCTATCCGCTGCTCCTCTGTCAGTGCCATTCTATGTAGCACTTTAGATGTCTTCCAAAAAGCATTATCATAATTTCATTCCCTTTTGCACAGCAATGTCCGTGACAACAAATTAGCGGGACCACTACCAGCTGGCATTGGAAACTGCACGTCCTTTCAGATATTGTAAGCAGAGCTCCATATTATTAAGCTCTGATGGTTCATTCTACCCCTATTGATTGCCAGTTGAGATCTTTTAATGGCAGCTTTTGAAGTTCAAACCTGTAATTTTGGTTCGCAGGGACTTGAGCTACAACAGCTTTTCCGGAGAGATACCGTATAATATAGGTTACTTACAAGTCAGCACCTTGTAAGTATGACCTTGTGGAATCACCCTACTCTTGGCAGTGAAAATTTTGCTTCTCATCTGCCAAATACAGGTCCGTCGTGAAATGTGTATGAATGACAGCCATTCCGCTAACAAACAAATGTGCAGGTCACTGGAGGCGAACCAACTTACTGGTGGAATCCCTGATGTTTTGGGCCTGATGCAAGCCCTTGTTATACTGTAAGTTGGGCTGTTTTCACAGTTTACATGTTACACCACAAGCCAAACAACCAGATGTAGCATTGTTAGCTTCTTGGAACTAAGTGCAGCTCCCAAACTTCAAGTAAACAACGCATTTGGGTTCAGCGCAAAATGTAGTTATTGCTTTAGGGACTGGAATACTCGCCTTCAAGGCCAGCTTATTTGCAAGTAATATTGTATTGACACCTTTGATATCATACAGTGACTTAAGCAACAACAAGCTTGAAGGCCAAATTCCTCCGATACTTGGGAATCTAACTTCCCTCACGAAACTGTAAGTTGAAATCATTGCTAAGTTATTTAATAGAGAAAGAATGCTCTACTCAGAAGGAATCATTTTGTGCATGAAATAGTTTTCTGCAACAGGTTGACGACTCAAAATCAAAAGTGAGCCAACGGATGTTACTACTGAGAAGAACTGGATCCACGGACTGAATGGATTGTTGATTTTGAATTTCATGCAGATATCTCTACAATAACAATATCTCGGGACCTATACCAGTTGAATTTGGAAATATGTCGCGACTAAATTACCTGTAAGAGCTTACTCCAGTGATGAGTTTTGATTTTACACATAAAATAGTATTGTGCCGCATTCTTTGTAAGTGAGGGCCCTTCTGTTGATGTATTTTAGTTTTACGCAGAGAATTGAGCGGCAACCGTTTAACAGGAGAGATACCATCCGAATTGAGCTACCTTACAGGTCTATTCGAACTGTAAGTTTTCTATGCCTGTCTGTGTTACTCTGAAAGTTAGAAGCTCATTTGTTAGACCACCATATTTGTACTTGTAAGGTTCAAGCAACATCTCCGGAGTGCTATATGCTGATGGAAAGTACGTCGTCTTCCAGAGATTTGTCAAATAATCAGCTCTCGGGGACCATTCCAGAGAATATCAGTTCACTGGCTGCTCTGAATCTTCTGTAAGATCGCACCTCTAGTAAATTTCTCCGATTCATATCTGCGCTTCACAAACATTCTGTAATATAGAGTTATCATACTTGTACACCCAGATTTCATACGAATTGTGGAGGAAAATTGTTTCCATTTACGTCGTCAATAGAATTTCTCCCATGAGAGCACGATCGAAGTTTCCGCCTCGTCTGTTAAGCTCTTTGTTGATTTTGTTCATTGGGGTTATGATCAGAAACCTACACGGAAACCAGCTCAATGGAAGCATTTCTCCTGCACTTCAGCAGCTAACAAACCTCACCCTTCTGTAAGTTCTACTTTAGAATCTAACTTTAGGTGCAATATGTCTGCATTTATTGAATATTGAGTTGCAGTACTTATCAGTCACTTGTTGATTTGACCAGAAATCTAGCATCCAACAATTTCACAGGCAGTGTGCCGGAGGAAATTGGAATGATAGTCAACCTTGATATATTGTAAGTCGAGGCTCTCCCCTTCGCTGCTCCGAACTAAAACAAATTTTGACCATTGACGCTGAAATAAAAGGAAATGATATATTTCTAATTATTGCGTTGTTGATGACCGTGTCTCAGATTTGTATAATCTGCCCCTTCTAAATTCCTTCTCTCTACAATTTTTAAGCAGCACATGAAGTATATCTAGTGCGGCCTGCTAATATTGATTATTTTTGGATCAGGAATTTATCAAGAAACAGTCTGAGTGGACAAATACCTTCTTCAATATCTAATCTTGAGCATCTCCTCAGCATGTAAGTTCCAAACATACATTCATTTTTTAAAGTAAGGAATTACAACTACTTTTAGGTTTGACAAATAACATGTTATGAATGCGAAATTACCTCTCTCATTTGTATTAATAAATTACAGTTGTAATAACAGAGATCTACACGACAACAAATTGAATGGGACTATTCCAATGGCTCTTGGAAACCTGAAGAGTCTCGGCTTTCTGTAAGTTAGATTTTCCTTTTCATTATGAGAAGCTGAAAATCTTGATTTGATCATTTTCGCGAAACCAAGCAGGAGCTAATGAAGTCTTTTTAATGAAGAATGAACTCAATGAGTAGATTTGTTTTGAGAGCTTGCTATGTACAAGGGTAGAAACAATCTCTAGAGTTTCTAATTTGTATTCGTGGCAGTGATTTGTCGCAAAACCACCTGCAAGGACCTATTCCTTTAGAGTTGGGCCAACTTCTAGAACTGTCCTACCTGTGAGCACTTTAAACACCTCACTTTTTCCATCTTTGAATTGGTAATCCGATGGCAGATAAACTTGAAATGTCATCGTCGTTTGTCTCCTGGTATTCTTCAGGGATTTGTGCTTCAAACGTCTCTCTGGCCCGATTCAATTGATACATAGCTTCACATATTTGTATACCTATTTATATCCAGTTAAGCGTATGTATCAACGTTCATGAATATTCAAACAAGTATTATTCTGTCTCGGAGTTTTTGAAGTAGCGGGCGTCGTGATAAAGGTCAATACTGTCATTGTGGAGTGTTGAACTCGCATCTGTGCATTTCAATACTCTTAAATGAGGCGTCTGACCGCAAAATGTACGTTTTCTGAACTTGCGATTATCGTCCCAATTCGTTTGACTGCGCAGGAATATATCTTACAATCATCTCTCGGGCACTATTCCCCGAAATCAGGTGTTTTCAAGATTTCCAACCAGCAGGCAAGCTCTCACTCGAAGTCATTGCCTTGCTAATGACGCTTGAAGAGATCGGTCTGAAATCAGAATATGATCTCAAGCAATTGTGCAATTTCTGGACACATTTTCCTGATCCTTGTTGCCTTTTGTCAAGCTTTTGGACATCTGATTAACAAGTTGCTGTTCCATGGTTACCAGCTATTTTGGGAATCCGCTACTGTGCCTAAATTCCACTTTCTCTTGTGGACTGAACCCTCAGCAGCCTCGAGAAGCTACATCACAACGTCCAGGTATATGTAGTCCCCAAATCGAAGATAAAGTTTCAAGCCTCAATGCTGCTTCATGCATGGTTTCAATCATGGAACAAGCTTTATCTTGAGTTGGTTGATTTTTCTAGTGGTGCATATACTAATCTTTTAGACAATAACGAAGCCCAAAATCCTGAGCAGGTGCTCTTGGACCATCAGCTACATGGGGTATTACGATATCAGCGCTTATCTTGCTCGCCCTCCTTACCATTGTGGGCATTCGGTATGCTCAACCACATGTCTTTTTGAAAGCATCCAACAAAACTGTTCAAGGTACGAGGATCTGTGTGAAGAACAAACCAATTAATGTGACTGCGTATATGCGCAGATATAGTTCTGTGAACTAATTTAGGGCTTGTTTGATAGGTGCAAAATGCTTGAGACCCTTATTTGTATTTCTCATATACTTTACAACGATGATTTGAACTGGGTAAATATTTTTGAGCAGGCCCGCCAAGTTTTGTGATATTTCACCTCGGCATGGCTCCACAATCTTACGAGGAGATGATGCGAATAACTGAAAATCTTAGCGAGAAGTACGTGATAGGGCGAGGCGGTTCAAGCACAGTTTACAGGTGTAGCCTCAAGAACGGTCATCCTATTGCAATCAAGAAGTTGTACAACCAATTTTCACAAAATGTTCACGAATTCGAGACAGAGTTGAGGACATTAGGAAACATCAAGCATCGAAATCTCGTCACTCTGCGAGGCTTCTCCATGTCCTCCATAGGAAACTTTCTCTTCTATGATTACATGGAAAATGGAAGTCTATACGATCATCTCCACGGTAAAACATAATCCTCACCCAGGATCCACTTGCTTGGGACGCTCTCTGCTCAAATTTATATATTTGTCTGTGTGGTCTGCTGTGAACTGAACTTCAATAAACTCGACGTTATAGGCCATGTGAAGAACAAGTTGGACTGGAACACAAGGCTGAAGATCGCATCAGGAGCAGCACAGGGACTTGCTTACCTTCACAAAGACTGCAAACCCCAAGTTGTGCACCGTGACGTAAAATCATGCAACATACTCTTGGATGTAGACATGGAGCCACACGTCGCCGACTTCGGCATTGCAAAGAACATCCAGCCAGCCAGAACGCACACGTCCACTCACGTTCTGGGTACAATTGGGTATATAGACCCCGAGTATGCCCAGACGTCTCGCTTGAATGAAAAATCAGACGTCTACAGCTTCGGCATCGTTCTTCTGGAAATTCTGGCCAACAAGAAAGCAGTCGATGACGAAGTGAATCTCCTAGACTGGGTACAACTCAATCACAGCCTTCTTCATGTGGCAGTATTCAGCTCGTTGAACTGAATTGTTGAATGAAGGTCTTGTACTGATTGTTGGTTTGTTTGTAGGTCATGTCTCAACTGGAGGGCAAAACCATGCAGGATGTAATCGATCCCCACGTCAGAGCCACATGCAAAGATGTAGACGCTCTGGAGAAGACTCTCAAGCTGGCCCTTCTGTGCTCCAAGCTCAATCCTTCGCATCGTCCATCGATGTACGATGTCTCGCAGGTGCTGCTCTCTCTTCTGCCACCACAATCCTCGGATGATTTCCCTTCTTCGAAACCATACCCTCCTTCGAATCAGCGACGCTACGTCGACATGTACAGCAGCAAGCAGACCGAAGCAATTTCTCTCAGCAACAGCTCATCTGGCGACACCCTTCTTTACCAGTTCAAAGAGGTCATCTCTGGAAAAATGCCCTAGGCTCCGGACCCGAATTCGCGGCGCAAAACTCACCACGACTACTAATTAATCGGAAATCACAAGGTCGGATTTGAATCATACTCAGTTCGGCACCGCCCTAACGTCATCCACAGTAGGTTAACCTACCTGGGTGCCCTCAGAAAAAAAAAAAAAAAAAAAAAAAAAAAACACCTTGAAGACACGCCAGTGCTCAAACAGCCCAAAATTTTTGCCCTGCCAGATAACCAGCGGCAAGGAGAGCTTCGGACCCGATTCGCAAGTCGTGAAAAGCAGTCGATCCAGACTGACTGGTGCCACTTCATGAGCAGCATTTGGAGCCAGTGGTGGTGCTTCCAGCATGCTTTGTAGCATAGTTCTCTTTTTAGCATAGGAATTGCTGAGGCAGGGAAAAGACACATCTATCTATAGAGAGAAAGAGCAAGCCAGATCGGTCCTTTTTTTCTGAGCCTAATTTTAGGTCGCATCCAAAGAGGATGAACGCCATGGAACTTTAGAGGACCTTTTGGTACCTGCTCTGTTGTAATTATACTGACCACCCTCTCTCGTTTTCCAGTCCAAACCTGCACCTCCTGATGCGTACTTTTGCTTGCTCTTCCTCTCGTTTTTCACTCAAATTCTGCCTAGTCTCGTCCCATCTTGCTTTTCCTCACCTTCTCCAATTCAGTGAATGAGGCTCGGATTGCACAATATTGACTCTAAATCCGCGGGGATTGCTCGGCCCGTAAGAGTTGCAATGTTGGAAGCATTGTCGACTTGAGGAAGTCGACGACAACAGCGTCGAAAAAGCGCTGGTGTTGAGCATATTTTTGACTACAGCCTTTCACATACACTTTACTGCAAACTACTTCATTCATAAGTACCATAATTTGAATAAGTAATCAGCTTAAATTGTTAAAATAACACAAATTATAATAGAGTAATCTGCAACTTCTAATACCAAAATTTGGATAGATTTCTTAGTATGTGCATTACTTCTTGACTTATTTGTTGCACAATGTACTTTGTCCTTTGGACAGATGACTCTAGGGTTATCCAAACTAACCATAACTATTGCATGCTTCCATAATTGATCACATACTTTCTTTCTAGTGTTAGAGGGGAGGTAATACATAAAATGTGCAATTAACATTCATGTAAAAAGGGTGTAGATGTTGCTAAATTTGTAGCAAAATTTCAACTAACAATTCAAAATAATATACCAAATGATATTGATGATGAAAATTGGTAAATATTCAATTGCCACCATTTCTTAGTAAACTTCAATTTGATGCTTACATAGAAGATCTAATGTGTTTGTTGTTGTCCTTATGTAAGAAAAAGTAGTATCATCAAGTATTGCTCATATATAATTATATTGTGTTGATGTAGTAATGTTAAAGACATACATGTTTACATAGATAAGAAGTGCTAGGTAAATATAAATGTAGATACATTTGATATTATCGTATGACAAAACTTCTTAGAAGCTCCATAGATGTACATTGGTCTTTACATATCAATAGTTGATCATAGGTTAGAAACTTTGTCAATAAGTTAGCAGTATATTGCACATGAAAGTAGCTTGTGGTACAAATTAATGATGTAGTGCATATATATGAAATATACCTTATACATAAAGATATGTATCTTGCAAATTGAACACATGTTAGAAGTCAAATAGAATATTGCTATATAGCTCTTAGTTAAATAATATATATATGGAAGTAAAAATAAAGTCTTCTTCACTCTTGTCAATATCTTTCTAGCCTTCAATCTTATTTTAAGACTTTCTAGTCTTCTTATCTTTCGCAATAGCCATTCTAATTTAAAATTATTCCATCTTTGAGTGATTTTTTTAGTGTTTTTGAGTGATACAAGAATTTATTAATCTTTTAGTTCATTGAAATTTATTTTCTTGACAATTGAATAAGAATGTTAATTTGTTATTCTTATTTTATTTTTAAAATGAGTGAATTATTTCACTTCTATTATTATATTTTAAAGGTTGTAAACTATCCACTTTTAAACTAACTTTTAGTTTTTTAAACATTGATTGTTTTTTTTAAAGAGAGTGGACTACCTTTTTTTGTAAAAATTCTCATTTGCTATTAGAAGTTGTAGATTATTCTATTATAATTTAACTTGTGAGTTTATTTGAGTCATCCATAAAAGAAAAAACTATGGATGCTACTCATAGTAGAAGTGAGAATAGATTTGTAACTATTGTAGATCTCTACAAGCTTAAGAATACTCTTAGGATAAAAATCTCATGTATTTTTAATGTGAATTATAGAGATACAATTCTTATGCCTATAGAAGGAGTCAATAACAAGGTTTAGACTCTATGCCAAGAAGTTGTATAGTTGAGAGAAGCAAGTAGATCAAATTTATAATTAAATACAAAAAGCCTTGTTTCTATAAGTATGAAGGAGGCAAGGATAAGTATATCAGAGAAGTTTAACAGAACAAGACCAAAGTTTTGAAGATTTCTACAACAAGTGAAGCTCTTTTTAAGGTTGCATCCTTTCTAATACCCTAATGGATTTACTCAAGTTGGATTTATAGGTGCACTTCTATTCGGGAATGCTCTCTATTAGTTTGTATTTTTGATGGAAAAAGATTCATGACTTTTTTATAATCTTAATTCATTCTTATAAGTCTTTATAATTACATTTGAAAAAAGTGATTGAAAAATGATAGCAAAGACCAAACTCCTATTTTTATGATAAAGATTACATTCAGCCACAATATATAATAGAATTTCAAAACCTTGTATGTAATATAGATTAGAATGATAAAATTCTTATCAATCAATTTTGATATAGATTGAAAAAAAATGTCAAAGATTTATTATTGACAATACAAAGAGCAGACTCATTGGAGCAATTTATTGCTCAAGCCATTGAAGGCGACAATCTACTCTTTGAAAGATGCTAAGAATAAAGGTTTGATTAAAGATGTATAAATCAAGTTATGGCGACAACTTCTAACTTTTTATAAGCTTATTCATTAAGGCCAAAACCTATGTAAATTGACACAATACATTTCAAATCTCTTACTAAGTAAGAAAAAACTTGATGTCATCCAAAAAGATTATACTTATATTATAGAAAACTTAAACATACTACTCAACATTATCCAAAAAAATAACATGCTCACAAAATGAAAAGCATAGTTGCAAAAAAAGAAAATATATTAGAAAACAAGTTTCTCTAATTACAATAGGAATTGTACAATTGAAATCTTGCATAACACCTAGTAAAGGTCATATTATTTTTTTAGATCCCTCACCTTGTTTTATAATAGAAGATTTTTTAGGACTAAAAAATCACAAAGTCTTTATCTTGTTAGATTCAAGAGCTTTGACTTATTTTGTAGACAAAGCCTTTATTAAAAAATAAGAAAAGATTTTAATTCAAAAAAATAAATCCATGTATGTAAAAGTCATAGATGGTTGTTTGTTATCTTTTAGAGATATTATTTGTGAAATAGTTCTTTTAGATGTGGTAACTAAAGATTATAGTAATTCAATAATATTTAATGTTATTAAATTTATTTCTAATCTAATTATTTTAGAATTATCATGGTTAAAAAATTATAATCTTCAAATAGATTGAATTTCTTGTAACATTGATATTTTTTCTAATTCAACCTAGGATTTTGCTAGTTTAATAGAATCCATAAATTCAATACAATCAAATCTTTATTGATAGGTGCAAGAGCTTTCATGCATATAGGAAAAGAAGGATCAACTTTTGCTATATATGCTACACTTATTTTCAATAGGAAAAAGACTTCAAATTACATTCCAAGCAAGTATTAAGATTATTAAGGCATTTTTTAAAAGAAAATATAAATATTCTTTTAGAAAATTGTTCCTATGACTATTCAATTGATTTTAAAGACACAGCTCAACCACTATTTGATCTAATCTATAATTTATTGCAAAACAAGTTGGATGTACTTAAAGAATATATTGACAAAAACTTGACTAAGAATTGGATACAAAATTTTAAATCTCCAACAAGAATTTCTATCTTATTTGTGAAGAAAAAAGACATATCTTTGTGAATGTGTATGGACTATTAAGGACTCAACAAGATCATTATTAAAAAACATATATTTTTTGTCTTTGATTTTAGAACTTTGTGATTAACTCAATGAAATAAAGATCTATATAAAAATAGATCCAGAAGGAGTATACAACTTCATATGCCTTAAAAAAAGAGATGAATAAAAGACTACAATTTGAACCAAGTATAGACATTTTGAATGTAATGTCATACCTTTTGGATTCACAAATGCACTAGTTGCATTTTAACATTTAATGAATGATGTCTTTTGTGGGTTATTTTATGACTTTATTGTTTGTTATGTAAAAAATATTTTAATCTACTCTAAGAACATAGAAGAGTATGAATTTCATGTTCATTGTACATTACAAAAATTAAAAGATGCAAGATTATATGCCAAGATAAAAAAGTGTGTAGTTCAAACTACTCAAGTTAATTTCTTAGAATATATCATTTCAAATGATGGTCTTATGATGGATCTTAAGAAGGCTCAAATTATCATAGTTTAGAAGATTTCAAAAAGTACTTCATATTGATGTATGATTTGAATTGTTGTAAAGTTCATTGAAACATATCTTTATCAAGTTTACTTATCAATCAAAAAAATAATAAGATTTATCAAAAATCTTATTTAAGCTTTCTTATCTTATATCAAAAGAAAGAAATGTAATTTTAGATTATGAAAGATCAATTTACTTGAAGTTGGAACATTTTCATCTTTGCATAATAAAATCAACATTAACTATTGATCCAACCTTTGTCAAGCAAGTTCAATCATATATATCATTTGTTTCTATTGTTCATGATATTAAGAATAATTATTCTTAATCTTAGAATCTTTTTAAGTTAGAATTTAAGAATAATCTAAATTATTTTGAAAGATAATTATATAACTTTTAGAAGACCAAGCACAATTATGTATTTTTCAAATTTTTCATAATTTTGTATTAGCCAAATATTTTGGATAAAATAAGATTTTGGAACTAATATGAAGATATTTTTGATGGATTCAAATTTAAAATGGAGTCAAAGACTTTATACAATCATGTAACGTTTTTGAAAGATCAAAAATTCCACATCATCAATCTTATGGATTTTTTTTAGCAATTATCTATTTTAAAAAAACCATGATAATCTATTTTTATAGATTTTATTATGGATCTTATTATCTTAGATTTATATGATTTTATATTTATAATAATAGATTTTTTTATCAAGATGGCATATTTTATATCATGGACAAAATCGACCACTTATGGAAAAACAACTAAGTTTTTTCATGACAATATCTATTGCTATTATGGATTGCTTAAAGATATTATATTAGATAGAGGGATTCAATTTATATTAAGATTTTAGAAAATCCTTTTTAAGATTTTAAAGTTAGATATAAAGCTAATGTTGGCTTTTTATATTCTAATCAATGGACAAATGAGGTGTATAATCAAGCTTTGGAATAGTATCTGAGTTGTAATATCAACTATCAGTAATAGGATGAGATATCTTT